GGTTAACCTAGAGCAATCTACCTTGAAAACGGCCAAACATCAAAGTGCACAAATACCACGCTTTGCCGGTATGGTGACTCTAGATACATCATAGGACCCGACGACTCCACCCGAAACCCTAGTACACCAAATATACGTAAAACTGTAGCCCATTTGCCTTTAATACTTGACTGAAAAGGCTGTTATTCTACATACTCTCAGGGTCCAGGTGGGTAGTTCTCAAAATTAGGGTCCCTGTTTGGGTACCCTGAATAAAGGGTGCCGTATTATAATAGGACCCCAAAAAGGGCCCTGAGATTGACAACCACCCAGGTAAACCCTGAACCTCTTGCCTCCTCTGGCGCCGGGTCTTCAACACCTCGCCGAAACAGCGACTTGTCGGTGCTGGGCGGCCTGGATCTGTCGCAGTGGGGATCCGGATCTCAGCTTGGGGTTTCGTTTTTTTGGGGTTTGGGGTGTAGGGTTTAGGGGTTTAGGGTTCAGGGTTTAGGGTTTCTTAATCTGCGAAATCCCCAAACCATCCCTAGACCCTACACTTGAACCTGAATCCCAAAACCCGGAATCCCGAGTTCCTCCATTCCTTCATCCCGCAAATCTGAAGCTACATTCCGAAACCCGAGAGTCCCCCCACCCCCAACCCCGGTTAAAGGGGGAGATGGTAAAACTCGCACATCAAACACAGTGACCTGAGCTACCTAAATATGCGCATGCTGGGTGTGCGTATACCTCAACCTCAGAAAGGTATGTAGAACAAGAGCAATGTATGGGTGTTGCACCATCATTTTACCTACTCTTTGGGGTTTGGGCAGGGCTTATGAAAGTTGGGGCCTTATCAGGGCTTGCTTGAAGGTTCATGTAAAGTTCCCAGAAGCAGAATTACAAGTACCTTTGCCGGCACCTTCAATGCAATCCGATGCAGGTGGGTGGTTGTCAAAATTAAGGTCCCTTTGTGGGTGCTCTAAATAATAGGTCCCGTATTATGATAGGGACCCAATAAGGGACCATAATATTGACGACCATCTATGTAGTTGTCGCTGCAGTTGCTGATAGGACACTTATATACGCACTCAAAACACTTCCTAGGTCCCTGGCACGCCCCCTTGTGCCGACCCACCTGGGATGGTGGTACGACGAGTAAACCTAAACTGTCCAAGCCATCAACTCAGCTAGGGTCCAAAAAAACATAAGCAAAACTAAGATATCCCAACCCATCCTGCTCCAATGTACCCAACCGAAACCCTGCGTCCCTCACTGCTAAACGGGAATTTCCGAACGCTAGGGGCTGCTTTAAAGAAGGGATCTAGAACGGTTCTATAGTGGGTTTAGGGTTTAGGGTTTGGTGTTTCCGAAAAGTAGGAGTATCTTTTTTTGAAGTCGTTATTATAAGGATCCCACTTTTTAATGTACCATATTAGGGACCCTTTTGTCGGAAACTCCAAAACCGTAAACCCTGAAACCTAAAGCCCTTCATCTTAAAGCTGCACGACCCAACCTGCCACTCTCTTGAGGATATCCGATGCCGGGTATGGTGCCGTAGCCTGGTCGGACAGGACGGGAAATTTGATGATGATGATGATGATGAAGATTGTGACTACTGTAGTTGTTATTACTGTTGCTATTGGTATAAGTTATGACCTTTCTTGTTAGCATCATTATCACGAGTACTACTCTTTTCGCTACTGTTTCTGTTACGGCAATATCACGATGACGGTCTCATGATAATTAGTACTACAACCATAATTATGCACAATTCTGCAGGAGGCTGTACCCAAAGCGATAGCGAAAGGCATTCCGATTGTGGTCGAAGCACGTAGAAAGTTACTCACACCCTAATTGCTCAGCCCATGACCCTCCAAGTCAACTTGCAGCTGTCTTAACCCGTGTTTAAGATTTAAGGTTCAGGGCTGTTAAAAGGGTTTGAGGTTTAGGGTGTAAGGTTTGGGTCGGCGGTTGATTGTGATCTCTTGACATCTTTGAGAGTAAGGGTCTGGGGCTGTGTTCTTGGGGTTTAGGGATGTTTAGGGTATATGTAGGGTGAAAGAAAAACAACTCCTGAAGCCCCATACCCTTCTGCAGCTTTGGAGTAGAGCACTAGACCAACGATCCCCCGGCGCTTTTTTGCACCAGTGATATTGTCTCATTGGCTGATCCTACAACGAACTGCACCCATACTTCTGACCTAGATATGTACAGGGTCTAACTCCAAAGTGAGTGGTTTCATGCGCAGCATCGCACACTGCCTGTTTAGTAAAACTACTAACTTATATTATATTCTTATACCATACTTACACAGTGTTGGAAGGTCTTAGGCTCGTTAGCTGATTAACCACGTTTGGAACAGGTCTGGGGAAACCAAACAACCGTTGCAAAGACCCAGTTCGGAACGCTAAACCGACTTAAGTGTGCTGCAGCTCGTTTTCTTTTGAGGGCTTACTGCACGGTTTTTGGCTTGCAAGCTTTTTGGGTCGAGGTTCAACGGCCACAGTAGTACAAGTACCCTAAACCCCAATACTTAACTGTGAGATACCTGGGCCTCTCACTTGGAGGAATGAGATTTAGTAAGTAAGGTTATAAGTACCTTATTGGGGTTATAAGTATAATTAGTTGCCTTATTTAGAGCCTTAGATACCAAGTCCTATGATCCTCCCAGCAGGGTAGCCAGAACCCCTGAACCCTGAACCACCCAAGCAGAGGCCCACTGGGCCTCCTAAGGGGCGCGTGGGGAGGCTTTGCGCCCCACCCTGGTGATAGACGACGCCTGAAAGGCTGAGTCGTGGTGGCTCTATGGTTCACGGCTGGGCTTTTCTGGCCGGGACCTCAAGATAATCTCTGTTCTCAAGGACAGTGATCTATGAAATTAGAATTTCGGGCCAGTTTGTCGAAATCTTGGGTGGGACCAGCCTGACCTCCGCGGGATCATTCTGGAGTTACAGCAGGCGCCAACATAGTCCCTGCAACCCAATAGACCGATAGACGGGCAGGCTTAAAACAAATCAAAAGCGAGTCTCTTAAATATCCAGCACGATGCCAACGAAGCCCTGAAATCCTGAACCCCACGTCCCGATGGATCCAAGAAAGTAGGTTCTGGGATTCAACCTTGAATGCCAAGTGTGCCTGGGGCTTCACCACCGGTGGAATATGGCATCGAGTTGTAAGCCATGCTGCCTGGGATACTTAGGGGTCCTTATCCTTCAGAATTCGAACAGACTTTCGGGTGTGGTGAAACACGCTCAGGAGGACGAAAAAAAGATACAAGAATGGCGTATTCAGACCACAAAATCAGAGAACTGCACCAGGAGCTTCCAGTAGCAAGTAGAGTAGGCATAGCGTCGCCTGGCTGGCTATAAGCTGCTTGCGCAACGCGCTGATCCTTCTAGCTCTCAACGATCCAAAGTACCTAACTAGTAGAATGTAGGGTCTCTTAGGATTCCCTAAGCTACCCTGGACCGGGGTACAGGACGTAGGGTTACGGACCGTAACCTGCCTGAAACCTGATGGCGATCTGATGGTTGACAGTTGACTTCCTTTTCATGTTCCTTATGAGACCCCTAAAGGGGTGCTGCTTGCAGCTCTGGAAAGTTGAGAGCTACGCAGCTAGTTAGGCCCCGTACAGCATTCGTGGGGGGGCCTTGATAAATAGAAAAAAATTCCGGGGCATACGAGAATCTACAAACACTGTAGCCTAAGGTTCCCGAACAATCAGTGTACTAAGATGCTAACTGGAAAACCAACGCGGCGGCAAAACCATGTTCCAACCATCAGCCGTCGAAGGAGAGCAACCGCCTGAAGTGTCTAACCTACAAAAAGTCGAGCTCATCAGATAACTGATGTGTTGTGGGGGTGAGGTTGAGCCAATCAATCACTCGGCCCGCCTCAGTTTTAGGGCTCAAGGTAAGGTTCGGGGCGTTGCGGGATCTACAATTTAGTGGCCTTCAAATCTGCCTTGAACGCATTCAGGCAAAGATGCCACCAAGGCACAGAATCAGAATCAAATAGACATGGAGCAGGAGGGGTCACACTGCCACTGTGGTGTTACGCTATCGAAGTTTGAGCCACGTCCTGGCACCTCTCGGGCATGATGATGACGATGTCTGCGAACATCAAGTAGCCTATCATGCAAGGAGAGTACAGGTGATGTTCCGAGCAGCCTTCCGAAGCGAGCACAGAGAGAGAGAGAGACAGAGAGAGAGAGAGGGAAAGACAGACAAAGGGAGGGAGAAACGAGAGAGGGATCGTGATGTGAACACAGACACAGAGCCGCCGACGGTTGAAGGTTGTGATTGTCGCTGTTGCACCAGTCGATATTATGATTGCAGGAAGTTTTGCGTTTTTTTTTTGTGATTTTTGTTGCATTTGCCGTTGTTGCTTACTTATGCCGCTGTACTCCTGTGCATTCGTCATTATCAACCATCCAATTGAAGAGTGGCAGCAGTAACCATATTGCTACCAGCGCCAACTGAATCATGCGCAACCATGCAATTTTGCAGCGTCGACTAAGCGCGCAAGGGCAATTACCACTACTAGCATGGTCAGGATACTTCTGGTTCCGGCCACGAACGCCCAGGTGGAAAGAACAGACATTTTGAGATCTGGAGATCTGCGAGGTGCATAAATTCGCCATGCGGAGCTGCTGTCTTCTGGCTCCATGTGAATTCTTAGCCATCGCCCAGCCGGCTGCCCTTGCCAGGTGGTAAATTCTGAGGCGGTATCCGCGTCTAGGGATTCTAGGGTCCTGAGATGCCTCCTAAACGGTTAAGGCAATGATCCTAATCCTATGTCGAAGTTTCCGTGTGTACCAGTCTTTGCAAACCGCACAGGAAGTCCTGAGGGCCCTGAAATACACTTCGACAGTTGAGGACCGTTTCAAATGATGGGAAATGCCGGGCATCTTGTCATGGGAAGGGCAGCCGGACATGCCTTGTGGCGACTTGTGCAGACATTGGGAAAATTGGTGAGACGATGCAAGTCTAAACTCACGAGCTACCGGCTTCCGGCGCACTTCAGCTCGCTTCAGGGCTCTTCCCGCCTGGTGTCACACTCTGGTGGTTCAAAGGAAGGATCAAACTAACAACGTCATTGACAACAAAAACAAGGCCGACGACGACAACAATGGTCCCTACCGCTGTGCCTGCTCCTGCGAACAACTGCGGCAGCAGCAGCAGCAGCAGTAGTAGTAGCACCGACATTCTCACAAAGCTATGCACAAGAAGAACATGCGATGGTGCAGGTTAGTCTCATCGTGCCGGTCTTCAAACGCGGGGCATGTGAGACCACCTGCCACCCCACGGATTTTGGGCGGAGTAGGCGAGTGCGAAAACTTACTCGTTCCAGCAACACACACTGCAACTCACTCAACAAAGCATGCTCGCAATGCGACGGCGCAAGCCCTATTTTGCTGCAAACATCGGCAAGCGGCGGTAGGTTGGTCTAATCGTGCCGGTCCTCACATGCTAGGCATGTGAGACCGCCTGCCACCCCACCGATTTGGGCGGGTGGGAGGGTGCGAAAACTTATGCTCGCGATAAGTCATCCAGTGCACCAATGCACACCACGACATGCTCGCAAAGCTATGCACAGGAAGAACATGCGACAGCGCCAGCCCTATTTTGCTGCAAGCATCGGCAGGCGGCGGTAGGTTGGTCAAATATCGTGCCGGTCTTCAAAAGCCGTGCATGTGAGACCACCCGCCAGAACCTAAAAGCCATCACAGCCCTTCAAAGGCCCCCCGAGGCAGCTGTCCAGCAAGCCACGCAGCAGTGCGTCCCAGTCCACGTCGAAGCGCTGCCAACCCATGCGCGCTGCGAGACCAACATCACCCCTGCTGACAGAGTCGGACAGATTGGCCGAGCTTTAGACTCGCTGCGAAAACTTGCACGATCGAGCATGCAACACACAGGCTGCAACTCAGCAAAGCAGGCTCGCAATATGTCATTCAGTGCACCAGTGCACACCACGCTACTACGACCACGATGGCGACGACGACTGCGACCACACGTGTTGGAAGGTGGTGCAAGGATCTATACCAGGAAACCCCATACCCTGAAAGGTTCAGCGTTTAGAGTGTCTGGATAGTGACATTGTGGCTTGGCTTCGGGTCAAGAGTCACAGCCTTCTAAACAAAGCTTGCTAACATGTCGGATATCGCAGAAGAATCGACTACAAAGGCCGGAACTCTGCACCCCGCAGAATGGGCTTCCTCAGTGCTCCTCATCGAGTTGCAAGTTTGTCGTAAAGATCTTGACATGCAAGGGTTGCTTTAGAGGTGCTACTGATGAGAATACGGTTCGGGTGCTACAGTACCATAGTACACAAGTGCAGAAGGACGACAAGGAAAAGGAAGTCGGGGACTCAGTATACAGACCTCTGCACTACAGTAGGCTTCGCCTTTGTCTGTGCATACACAGTTCAAGAGTGTACTACTGCAGGATATCAAACTCTGTCAAAAGCCCCTCGACGACTCGTTGTTAGAAATCAGTCATCATGATGGTAGGCGACATGGCATGTGTGCTTGCACGTCTGAATAACTAAGTTAGTTGAAAAAGAAGATACACTCAAACAGAAAAATGTACATGTACATCTATATATCCAGAAACTGAAGCCTGCACCCCTCCCCCAACAGTACACCGAAACAAACACCAATCCCCCAAACACCGCAAACTCGACAACCTCACCTACGCAACTCGAAAATCTTAAACCCCAACGTTGCAAACCGCACAACCCTTCACCTTCAAAAAAGTTACAGCCCCACAATCTTTTGACAAAACACAAAAGAAAAACATATATGTACAGCATCCTGAACCTTACCTACTTTCATCACACCTTCTGGAATTCCTTGACAACCGAAAGCCCGAGTGGTGGTGGTCCGGCACCTGGCATGGCTACGAAGCGCATGAAGTCGGTGGAGTTTCGCTCTTTCGCCCGACTCTGGCGCTCCTGTCGTTGCGTTCTTGGTCTACGGTAGAAACCATGAACCCCTACGCTTGATAATATAAATCCCGCATTACCCATAATAAAGAATATACCATATTTCCCATAGTTTAGGGTCCTTAAGGTAGTGCAGGCTTGATATCATCAACAGTAGTATGGGCCTTAGCCCTGGGATCGCGAAATACCTAATATATATATATATATATATATATATATATATATATATATCCTATATATATATATATCCTATATAGACTCGCGTTTGTTTTTTTGGAGCAGCTTTCGGTGCATAGTGCTTTGCCAACAGCTTCGTATGCGTTCAAAATACGGATGTATATTGGTGAGCCTCCAACCCGGTAAATCCTCTAAGCCGTCCAAAAGCCTACGAACCTCGATAAACCCCGAATTCGAAAACCCGTATGAGCCCGATAAGGCCTAAATCCTTTCCCAGAGGGTCCATTAAAACAACAAGCCATTCTGGAATTAGGTACCCAAACCATGATCAGCATGGCCTTTTGGTGTCTTCGGGCCTGATACAAGGTTTTTGGCGTATACTGCGTGCAGTACCCAGGGTTAAGGCATGATCCTAGCATAGTTGGACCCTCAGTCCTGCATGTCCTTCTCGAGACGGGGAAGCGCCCTGAGCAAGAACGCAATAGAAGGGCCTTAATAATTCGAATAGGTTTTGGGGGGTGTATTATACTATAGTTATAATAAGTACCCCACCAAAAACAGTATTGGTAATTATGTTGGCTCCTACATCAATAAGCTCTTAATTGGGGTTTACTAACCAGTCTCCGTTGTGTTTCCTTCTTTGCCTTAACCAGTTTTATATTGAAGATCCTAAAGGTAACCCTAAAAAGGAACTGCAATGCAAACAATAGGTACCCCTACTCTAAAGAATCTACTTTTGGGAGGTTGCTTATTATGGTTTCCTTATATGAGTCCCTGGAAAGGTAGGCTTGTTTTGGGTGACGGCGCCTGTACGCGCCTATGCGTTTTTGCAGGTTTCAGGGTATTGGGGTGGGGGGTGTGGGGGAGAGGGTGGGGGGGGGATGGGGAGGGGGGGGGGGATAAGAACGTCATTCATATTGCGCCCATGCGCAAAACACCGGTATTTGCAGCGTTTCGCCTCTTTGTACAACCAAACTTGAATCCAATCCTTAACCCTAAGTCTAACCTAAGACCTAGGGCAAGTCAATACTTTAAGCAGAAACTCTCTCTCAAATAAAGTTTTGTTCTGCAGCCTCTTCAAAAATGAGCTTAAGACCCGAGCGAAAACGCAGTTGGGCCCAAAGTTTACTCCAGCCTCTAGTGTTTCGCGTACCTGCCTGAACCATAATTTTCTGTGACAGTGCGCTCTCGCTGTGGTTTCGCGCGCATCCATGCAAAACGCCTGATTCTGAAATCGCTAAAAACGCATAGGCGCGTACAGGCGCTGTCACCTTGTTTTGGGGTTTAGGGTGCCGAAAAAGGGGAACATGCCTCCACTATTTATATTTAGGATTTGTAGTTTGGGGATGGGGGGTGGGGTTCAAGGTATGGTCCAGCTTTGCCGAGATTTGACACGTGTTGTTCCTTATGTCGCTGCATGTCATGGCCTGCCAGGCCATCAATACCAATTCGGGTGAGCTGGAAAATGAAATGCACTGCCTGCAGTCTAACCTAAGGTTGCCCGCCACTCCCACCGAAAAACGAACACACCTTTAAAGAGAAGCTTGTGGAAATTTTGAGTGCAATCTATGGAAAGCAAGCTGCCTACAACCCCAAACCCCTTAAACCCAACGTCCTACTTGCAATAAGCCCCCGCAAAAAAAAGCGCAAGAAGAACCCCGCACCTCCGCTCGTCGCGAAGCCGCCAGCCAGCCAAATGTCCCGCCTGCGCAGACTCTTAGTGCTCTTTGATTAGTTGTTGAAACGAATTAGACAACTAGTTTGTTGCGAAATTGTAGTTGAAGAAACAAAAGGTAGACACACTATATAGACTATATAGGGTTCACATGTCATTGTAATAATGATATTCCCGCAGAGAATAACCACGCTGATAGGGAGAAAGAAAACGGTGTCCTAGGGGCAGTACTGGTGAGATTAGGTTAGGGTTTCGGGGTATGATCTACGTTAGCTGCTTGAGGACCATAGGGGAATACTCAAAACGAGTATTTGTTCCGAGTTCCGACACCTGTAGCAACCCTATCCTTATTTGCGGGTATTCTGGGTTATATGAGAAACAACACAAGGCCAGGCTTAGTGCGCCTGGGTCTCAGATTTCGGAACTTCGGATTTTGCAAAACTCTATGTTGATGGATTTTGCTTTGAGTGCTGCTCGCCATGGCTTTGAGTTTTGGGTCCCGGACTTGCCCATTCTGCTCGCATCGACGGCTACGGCGACAGCTGATCCAGCCGCATGTACCCTTCCGGCTCAGGGCTACTGTACGGGGTTCTACAGGGCAAGGGAAACTACACATACAGACTCTGGACAGACTGCTTCCATAAGAGGTATTGTAACGGTTTAAGACTGCAACAAGTACGTCTACTGGTAGCAGAGTGAGACTTGCCCCGGTTGCCGCGTTCCCCTGCTGGGCTCGCTCGTATCCCTTCGACAGCCGCAAGCTGCTTGGTTCAGGATGCATCCCTTTACACTAGGCCTAAGAGTAACCTAGCAATAAAAAGGGTGCCCTTTTTGGTTTAAAGGGGTTTATAAGGGAACCTAAACCTTCAAAAAGGGAATAAGGGCCTACTCTGGGTCCTAGTACACGTTTGACAGCGTCCGTCCGGGGATTGAGTGTGCATCCATGCAAGTCCTGCAGTCAATGAAAGGTTTAGGGTTGTGTGGGGCAGCCCTGTCGGCCAGGTCTTGAGGGGTTGAGTAGCTCTTCAGGGACCCCTGAATTTCTGGATGTGCGGGTCCCCGGCTTCCTGCAGCACACCTAAGAATTTAAGCTCATGTAGTGGCCTTAATAATTAGAATCCGATTTCGGGCCTCCTTTTTATAGTGGTATGTTAACGACGAACCCTGAGGAATAAGATTGGCAATCATTTAGGCTTCTCTTGCAAACCGACGGTCACTCTGCCGACGCCTGGCCATCTTCATGGCTGGTCAACTGCTCCACCTGCGCCTTGCAACATCTGTGGAGCTGGGTCTCAGCGCACCGCCCCCCAATCGTCTTTTTGCGGCACGAGGCGGGGGCGGGCGGCGGCGCTCCGGTGCAGGGCTGCCGCACTGGGGTCGCAGCAGGGTGCACAGTCGCTGCGTCGTTGTTGGAGCCCGTGCTCGCCAGAATGCAACGATTGATGGACAAAATCCTGCATTACCCATTACAAGGAATATACCAGAATTCCCATAGTTTAGGGTCCTGAAGGTCATGCAGGATTTTGTCCATCAACAGAATGTCGACTCAGCCAGGAACACGGCTGAGTGCTCCAACGATGGCTGGTCGTGGCCCTTTCGCCACTGGGGAGCTGCTAATTCCGTAAATGGGAGTTAGGATTAGGGGGACCCTTGGGGATATAGACCCTCTCAATAAGGGCCCTTTTAAGAGAGCCAGAAGTAGGGTTCAGAAGGGGTACCCATTAAGGGGTCTCCCTAATAATACCACCTATTAAACAATTCTACTCCTTGGGGTTCCTTGATGCAACCATACAGTAATAAACTAGGGCCAGGGGGATAAACTCCAAAACTCGAGAGATAGACCATGCAGCCCTAACACCAATGAGAAGCCCGAGAGCCCTTGTTAAAGCCTGAACCCAGAAAAGACCCTAAACTGCAATTAATTCAACATCTGACATCCCAAACCCAAGATCCAAACCGATTCGGGGCCATGCGCTTTTGCTGCTAATGGTTAATTAGAGCCCTGATGAATCATAAGAGAGTCTTCAAGGTGTAGAGTTTAGAGCGTCCAGGTTTCTTAGCCCCGAAACCTGCAAATTCACACCCCTAAATCCTGAACCTCACACCCCATAAACAAAAACCAGGATGCCCCGTAACCTAGGAATAAAAAGGGTTCCTTTTTGGTATTGGGTAACTATGGTAACTTTATAAGGAACCTAGGACTACAAAAAGGGAATAAGGGTACTACTGGGCATCCTAGAAGACCTTAAATCCCTTAATAAGGACCCCAAGGTATACACCCTTCATATAGCTACTATATACCCATTATATAGCCCATTATAGGGTAGGAGTCCCCATTAAGGGTCCCTCCTTTCCCCCTTTGAGTAAACCGTAAACAAAGCTTCAACCCTGTCCTGCGCCAGGCGGTGTCGGAAGCCCAGCCGAGTGGAGCCTTCGAAATGCGCCTGCACATAACGATTGCTATATGGGAGTTTTCGAACTTAGGGGTACCTTTAAAGGGATCCTCTAAGGGTTCCTTAAAGGTATCTACAAGGGTTCTATAAAGGGTTTAGGGTTTAGGGTCTGGGGTTCCCGCTAGGAGTATCTTATTTTGGGGTCCTTATAAAAAGGATCCTACTTTTTAGGGAACCATATTAGGGTCCCCTATTTGCGGAAACTCCCATATGGGCTGCAACAGATATGTGGATGGGTAGATAGGCAGACACATAGATGGATAGATGGCATGCCTGCTGCATGAGGTTCAGATCGAGACATGCCTGATGAAAGCCCGAATCTCGGTCACAGCCCAACACATAGCCTCAACCTGAAGTACATAAACCCATACCCGGGACATGGTGTTTATCTGGCCATCTACGAACCGTAGTACAACCTGACAGTTCCAAATACCTTTGAAACCAGAACACTTGCTCGGAAAGACATCCTAAATCGTCAGAATGGCAATGGGGGCATGGATTGGTTTAGGTGGTGGGGCTTTGGGCCTTGGGTTTTCCGCTTTAGGATTATAGTAAGGGCCACTCATATATAGGTTGACGGGGTTTGCGCCGTTGGGTGTCCCGCAGATATGCGAAGCAAGGCCTCAACAATCGGAACAGGGTTTACTATACATTCGTCCAGATTTTTACCTTACATATACAGCCAGTGGAAGATACCAGGCATTCAAACCTGCTGCCCAAAGGGCCCATAAGAGCATGTAGGGCTTCTATTAGGAAGTACAAGGTATGATTTGGGGAAGTAGCTCCCATAAATAGTACACTGTTTTGGGGACCCAAAACAGGACCCTCATTTGGAGAACCACCCACATACACAACTGCACACCCTTGCACCGAAACCCACCCAGGTCTCGGATTCCCTACCGGTTTCAGGGTTCAGGGGCCTTCTGGGGGTATGACGCATGGCTACCTCAACCTCAAAACCCCAAAACACCTCAAGCCCTAAAGCCCCGAACCTGGAAAACTAAACTCCGGATCCCTTCACCCGTAGGCAAAACAAAGGGCCTGGTACTTCATCGTCTCGCAAATGATCTCCGCTCCGTCCGCCTGTGCTGAAGGCCCCGAAACCACAATCGTGCATCGAGTTAACCTGTGGCTCATGCTGCCTGCGGCTTAGTCTAAAGTTGAGGGTTTGGGGCCTTGGACTGTACCTAGACTAGAGTCGAAAAGCTGCCTAAACAAGAACAGTGTATCAAGTTTTGAAGGTCACATCCCTCTTTTTGAAGGTACGTTGGTTACTCTAGCTGGGATTAGTACTCAACGCAACCTGCGATTGGGATCGAAGCCGGCTTCGGGATGCCTGGGTCTTGCATGGAGGGTTACGGGCTTTACGGCTTAATTAGAGGGTTTAGGGTTCACTGTGGTCGAAGCGCTCAACATTTCTTCCTGAATAAACTATTCGCAGAGCATGAGTCCACAGAGCCCGGCTTAAGTAATATAAGCTAAAGGCCTGGCCGGTGCCACGCAACTTTTTGCAGCTTTCACTGCATAGGAACCTTCAAAACTGCAGTGAAAGTGGGCTTTCGTCATTTTCGAGGTCACTGTCAACTTCATTCTGACGCTTTGCATCGGCTACTTTGACTTCCTCTTCTTCAGCCTGTCTCACAGCCTCACGGTCTCGTTCATTGGCCTCCGTCCCTGAGTTGCTCATTCATGATATAATGTAGGACGTTAACTTGCATTATACAATAGAGACTTTTTGCATCTTAGGTAATATCGTCGGACTTGTTATCAGAACGGATAATACTTTACGTCAAGCCCTAAATCCTATACGCACGAGGCAACTGCTCACAAGTAGGCTGAAAACTCAGCAAATCTTCTGCAACATGCACTGAGCCCTACACCCCAAAACCCAAACCCAGAACACCTGAACCGCAAAAAAACCCTAAAAGCAAGCAGGGGTGGGAGGGCGTACCAAAGAGGCAGCGATGCCGGACTCCTTCGGCAGTCGTTTCCGTAGCGAAAAGATGTGATAACAGTAACCCTAGTCGTGACAGTCACAGCAGTGCTCCAGTGACCCTCGTAACTCAACAGTAAGCCTGCTGACAGTCGTAATGGTGGTGTCCTAGTCCGAAGTGAAATTCGCCCGAAGTTGGGTGACTTGCATATCTTGACTACCTCTTCGCGGAAGTATTCGCATGATTCAGTGGAAGACTGGACAGGGTTCAGAGGTTGGGGTCTAAAGTTTAAAGATGATTTCAATCGGAGTCGGGAGCCGGACGCTTGGGCGGCTTAAGTTTAGCTTCAGAGTTCCGGTGGAGGGGGGAAGGCATGGGGGGCGGATTCGCCATCTAGGACTTTGTCTTCCTGGGTGCAGTCGTGTCATGACTGCTCGCTGGTGTTCCAGTGTCCGCTTCTCCTTCCGAAGTGCTTCAGCCAACGGAGTCTTTCAGGACTATGGCTCCTATGGAAAGCTAAAGCCCGAAATCCTCAGCGCTGCACCTCAAACCGCATCGCCCCGAAGCTCTCAACCCTCAAACCATCAGAGCCCCAAAACCCAGGACACCATAATTACCAATACTATTTTGGTGGTTCCCTACTGTATTTATATTATATCGTGTCCCAATTTTTAGGGCCCCTATATTAAAACACTAAGCCCTAAAACTCCAAGCACGAAGCTGCCCCGAACCCTGGACCCTCAAAGGCACTGGTGCGGCTCCTCGCGCTTCTTCGCGAAGTCGCCGGGAACTCGGCCCCCGGCACCGGTGACGATGCCCATCTCCTGTGGGCAGAGTGACACTCAAGTCATCCTCAAGGTTCTTGAGGGTTCCTTTAAAGGGGTCTATGGGGCTTTCTTCAAAAGGGATCTATAGGGCTTAGGGCTTCGGGTTTCGGTCGAGGGAGGGTTTTAGGGTTTAGGGCTCGGGGCTTAGGGGCTGAAGGGTTTGGGGTTCAAGGTCGCGGAAGCAGGCCCGATCATATAAGCCAAATGGTCAAACGCAGCAAGTTTAAGGTTCCCCCACCTGAATAACTAAGCTATGCAAAATGGCAAAGGTGGGGGCGGCAGGTAAGGATACGTGCACAGAGAAAGGGGGTCAGAGGAATCAGGTTCAGAGCACGGGCCAGTGGCTGCGTGACAGAGAGCTCAGGGAAACGCCGGGGGATGGACCCGCGGCCCGCGGTCTTTCAGAGCCTCTCAGTCCCACCCACACATGCAAAACCTAGACTCGTGCATTTACTGAAAGGAACTAAATGAACAACAAGGATATGAAACTCTAAATCCTGGGCCGCACACGCCGTTGATTCTCGATGTGCATGACGGCTTCGGGCCCGGCCGCCGGTAGTATTGAGAATTGAAAGGTCAGCTGCTGAGGGGTTCGCGTTTTGGTTCAGCAATCCTCCGGAAAAATATTGGGAATTATTCAGGCTTCTTCAGGCTTCTACATTTGCACCGTCATGGGCCTTTCTCCTGCTGCATGTCCGGCAAGTCGTTGGGTTCTCTTGCTCACTTGAGGGGCTCCGACTTTGTCAATCCCACGGTTCCAGCGGCAGCTTCTTCAGGTACTTCTTCAAGAGTGGAGAAGCTCCCTTGGCTCACCAGCAATGGCTGTGCGTGCTTTCTGCTCCTGCTTAGGAGCTCCAGGTTCACAGTCCGTCCAGTGTAGGTCGGTGCTTCGGGCTGTGGCGAAGCTGAGGGAGATTCAGTCTCCTTGCCGTAGGAGCTCAGCCGTGCACAGTGGGGGTTAGGGTTTAGGGCTTAAGGGGTTTAGGTTTAGGGCTTCATGGTTTCAGGGGTTCAAGGACCTTAAAGGTGTCAGGGTTTAGGGTTGAGGTTTAGGGATGTTTAGGGTGTGGGGTACCTGCATTGCTCCTATGAAAGCGGCCCCATCATAGCGGTTTTGACTATAGCGACGACTACGACTGAAACGCTTTGCCGGAGAACTTCGCCTGCAAACCCTATCTATAGTCTCCATTGTAGTTCCTTTTTTGGTTTAATCAGTTTCATATGAAGGGTCCTAGATGTTTTACCCTATAAAGGAACTTCCTTGCAGACTTTAGGTAAACCCTACACCCGAAAGAGTTGGTCTTGCGAGTCGGGCGACTCGCAAGACTTCGTACGCATCGCAACTGACAGTGGTTGAGCAAGATCAAACTGCGTAATTACCTTAACCCTGAAGGACCTACGTTTTTAAGGACTTAACCCTAAACCCTCAACCCTAAATCCCTAAACCTAAACCCTAAACCCCTAAACCCTAAACCCTGGACCCCTAAACCCTAAACCCTAAACAAAGGGAGAAGAGGCAGGGTCAGCCAGTTTTCCGGTGGCAAGCTGGCGTAGGGCATGGGGGAAGGGGGCCCTTTTTGGGGTGTAGGGTGTAGGGTATAGGGTTTAGCGTATAGGGTGTAGGGTTTAGGGTATAGGGTTTAGCGTATAGGGTGTAGGGTTTAGGGGGTTTAGGGTATAGGGTTTAGGGCAACCAGAATGAAACTCGGTCCTCGAAGAGTGGCATGCAGCCCATGGCACCTGCAAGGCAGTGTGCAAACTAGCGCTCGTGGGGCAAGGCGTTGGTGTTCAGGACCCTGTAACTTTGAACCCTAAACCCCTTAAGTCCTAAACCCCTAGCTAAACTCCTATACTCCTAAACCCGTCAGATCAATTTGGGGTGTACATAAAGGGACCTTGAGCCTGGAAGCTGTGCGAAGTCTGCGCATCAGATGAGCTACTTAGAAGGGGCCCCCACCCTGTAATAGTGACCATAAGGACTATACAGGATTATATTCGGGCCCTATTATATTCCCATTATATACCACTATTACAGGGTGGGGGCAGCTTCTAATGAGCTACTGTGAACACGACTCATAAACCACAAGGCATCCCTTTACCAAACAACTAAGCCTTATTGAGGACTCATACTAGGATACCCAGTAACCTATGAAAAAAAAGGCCTCTCTCTTTAGTATTGGGTAACTTTATAAGGAACCTAGGACTACAAAAAGGGAATAAGGGTACTACTGGGTATCCTAGCATATAAGGAAAACATGATAGGGAGCCAAAACTGATATAGGGGCCTTAATAATTAGAATAGGGTTTGGGGACCAGTGTACTACAAGTGTAACAAGGAGCCCTCAAAACATAATAGATATCTATTAAGGCCCCTATGGTAGGTGTCTTAAGGTCCAGCTGGTTCCGGAATAGGGATCCTCACGGAGCCTATGGTATGATCCAGGTCGGAAGCTCCAAACTGTCCTACGGTGTGACGTCTGTGATATTTAGGATGTATAATTCGGGGTTTAGGATTTGTGGGAATTTGGGGCTTAGGGCTTAGGCTTTAAATCCTAAACCCCAAACCACACTGCAATGCCAATTTTGACAATACTGAGCAAGAAGCTTGAGTCAGCATCATCAGCGTAAGACTGTGATTGCTCGGTCGGTGCGACCACCTGACGTCACCCTTAGATCACTACAAGCAATGATCAGAACTTATTCGTAACGTGAAAGCTGGCAACAGGGGCACCCTCGTGAACGTCTCAAGTATAGAAGTTGCAGCAATCAATCCCAAATTCGAAACCCCTAAACCCTAAACCCTAAACCCTAAACCCTAAACCCTAAACCCTAAACCCGACGCCCTGGACCGAAACGCTGAACACTGAACTCGAAACCCTAGAGTCTTAAAGTCTGAGCACCGGGCCGACGAAGGCCCGATGAAAGAGGCCCTTGTACTTGGGCTTCTTGAGGACCTAGACCCAAGCAGTTATGGTCGATGTGCCGAAATGAGGGCTGCAAGGTTGAGGGTTGAAGGTTTCTGGGTCTAGGGTATGGGGTATAGGGTTTCGGGTCTAGGGTCTATATTCACCGATTTCGATGGGAGATTCCGAAAAATAGGGGACCCAAATATAGTACTAACATAATACTCTAAATCGTAGGATCCTTTTTGAAGGGACCCCGAATAATGTACCCCTTCTTTTCGGAAACTCCCATATACTAAATACGTATCATGGACCTTTGAGGAAAGGGCTCATGGAGAGGCTTAGGTGTTACCCTCGGAGTTCTTATAAGGATAGTCACCAAGGGTGATGCGAGATGTATACATGTATGTTACTGTATGTTGCGACGACAAACCACCACCAACAACAAGAACAACTATACAGTTTAGGGTTAATGTAGGAACCTGACTAAGAAACCCTGGCCCTATAACCCCCAAATAGGAGACCTAATAAAGGCACAAGGTTTCTTAATCAGGTTCTTACATTAAGAGTTTAGGGTTTAGGGTCCCCCACCACCACCATCAACAACAATCCTTCACTAGGGCAAGGGGCTAAACGTCACAATCTTCCTTCTAAATCTCTTAACGCTACCCCAAACCCTTTACCCCGAGGCTCCAAATAGTAGCCCAAAGTAGGGACCATTTATAGACTTTAGACCCCAAAGTAGGTACTACTTGCATACTTGGAGTCTTAGGGTTATAGAGCTCCCGGCCCAAAACCCTATAGGAAACTCCAGAAAGTTGGAATATGGTTTCATGGCAGGATACCCTATAATTTACCATAGAAGGGTTAGGATAATAATCCAACTTTCTGGCTTTTACCTTACAGTGCAACATCAATGGTCACTACACGCAGGGTGCCTCTTTGAGGTCACCCGCAAGGAGCACGACCTCCACGCCCTGGCCCACGGAGGACTCGTCATCCCCAAAGAGCCCAATACCCCTTAATTAAGGAATATGGCTTAAATTATATAGGGCTTCATATTATGATTTAAGCCATAAAACTTAATTAAGGGGTATTGGGCTCTCTGGGTCATTCTGTTACTCCGCTGATGATACATTATGTGCAAACAAGCAAACCAACAACCACACAACCTGTTCGTTGTGTGTGTGTGTGCTTAATTTATGCGCAACCACAAATGAAAGACGATCTGCATGTATGTATGTATGTATGCATGTATGCACCTATACATGTAATGTGTATGCAACATGCAGTTTGCATGCACTTGCTTCCTCAATGATTTTGCTTGTGAGCTGTGCGGTCCAATGCCAGTCTGAATCAGTAAGAAGATCCCTCAAAATCCGGGTTTAGGGTTTAGGGTTTTAGGGTTTAGGGTTTAGAGTTTAGAGGTTTCAGAAATCCGAGGCTAGCACGGTTGGCCATAAACGGATGGGAGATCCCCAGTCTGCACCCAGGGAACCCCAAAGTAGAATGCCTACTCATGCAGTCATGCAGAGCCCGAAAACCCCTAACCAATCTAACTAATGTGAGCTATTCTGGCACTACCATCACTTCTAAGGGACGACCATGCTGAAAACAAGTTATACTTGCTACACCGCGACGCACCAAGACGATAACTGCAGCGAAGTTTGCCCGTGTTAAGTATAGACTACTGCCGGAAACTTCAGAGAAAGTGCACAAGGGTGCCTCCATGGCTTCACTCAGGGGCGGCCAGTTCACCTCCAGGATTTGTGCTTGGGTTTAGGGTTTAGGGCTTGGGGTTTGGGGTTTAGGGTTTGCTGGTCGTCGGGGTTCAGGGCTTACGGCCACGAGCAATGTGGCTTATGTGAAGCAGCTGATTTAGCGCTGTTGCACAAGACTTGCGGCGAAGACAACAGCCAAATCACAATGACGCAAAACAAGAATGGCAACACGAGCAACACTGACACAAAGAACACAACAGCTCATGACTGGAGGTGATCACGATGACGACAATCGTAGTCGTGGCAGCGAAGATGGTCATGTTGGGGCTGGTTGACAGCCAGCTCTTGCAATGACATGAGCCTACGTGCCTGCCCTAGACGTTCGCCGCACCCCCATAACCCCTCTGCTAAATGAACACTCGTGCGGTCCAGATATTCGAGGGTTTAAGGGCCCTCAGCCCTAAACTCAGAATCCTATGCCCGAAACCCTAGGCCGTAAAACCTGATTATAAAACCCTAAATCAATCCGATTTCCCAAATCCTGGGCCCTAAATCCTTCTAAAATCCTTTAGCCCCCAAACCCAGAATCCTGTTCCCTAAACCTCGTGGCTCTCTGCCCCAAACCCTAAACCCAGAACCCTATTCCCCAAAATTTTGGGCTGTCTTATCCAAACCCTGAACCCAGAGTCCTAATCCCTGAACCCTACTATCCGTCTTGGGCTCTAGAATAAGGTTTGGGGGTACAGGCAATTGTTAAGGCCCCCAGACCCCTTCAAGGATCCTTTTGAAGGGAAATCCCGGGCAATTAATAAAGCCCCGATAGCGTCCGTCGGAGGCTGCCTTCTTCTCGCGCCGCCCGCGCGGCGGCGCATCCTCAACCACCTGGTCGGCCGCTTTTGGTCTGGCTAATGTAGGAACCTGATTAAGAAACCTTGGGTCTTTATTAGGGCTCTATATATGGACCCTACTATTATGGGGTTGTAGGACCAGGGTTTCTAAACCAGGTTCCTACATCAGCGGTTTCTGCTTCAGGCATTTAGGATTTGGGAAGTAGAAATATCGGGCTCTGGGGGCTTAGTTTAGGAGTTTAGGGTCGCGGACGGGTAGGGTCCTTTATTCTGCAGGGATTCTATGTGGACTTCGCCATCGAACGCGCCATAATCAAGGCGCTCCTGCAAAGCTCAGAAGCCACGGTTTGGGGTTTAGAGTTTAGGGGTTTAGGGGTTTAGGGGTTTAGGGTGAGGCAGGAACTAAGGCAAACCCTGCGTCCTGAACCGAACACCCCGAAGCCTGCCGATGGCAGAGTTGTCCATTCATGATGATCGATGATCGGAATGATGCCCCAACAAGTTCGTGACATAAGGGCCTTAACAAATAGAATAGGGTCTGGGGGTATAGTATATTATACTATAACTATATCAAGCAACCCAAAAATAGCATTGGTAATTATTCAAGCCCCTACATTACTTCCGCCGGGGTCAGACAGAAGGGCCCTATGCATTTCGGTATAAACAACTTTTACTCGAAACGAAGCACCAAAAAGTTTATGCCGCGAACTCGTTTGATGGGTGTTAGAGGCACTCGGATTTTGAATGCCTAGGGGTTGTACTAGTACGCGTGCCCGGGGGTGGAGAGCAAGGCTAGTTATGCACGCCTTTGGCCGGATCCGCTGAAACAGTCAGACAGCTGCGCCGTTGGAAAGCGTTTGCCAAGCTAGCAGTGCACAAAGATCAACTAGATTCACTAGATCGACCCGAAGTTCATGGCGATCGTCGCTGCGCTCGCTCCGCTTTCTGCCAGCTTTTCTTCCAGAACATTCAGCTGATGCTGGAGGTGTTTCCGCATTTCGTTTTGTTTGGATGACATCGCTGTCTGCCGGGGTTGCAGGTCCGGTGGGACCGGTTTCCCTTCCCTCTGAAGCCGCCGCGTTCCAGTAGGATGCAAGGGCCTCTGTCGCCTGCTTTATCGAGTTCGAGAAATGAGGGTCTGCCACTAGAACCACAACACAAACAGAACCAATAGTCCAAATCCTTGCCGAGGTTGGTGCAACGGTGCAACAACACCCGAAACCCTGGTCCCCAAAGCGCTAAACCCCATTTAGGGTTTATAGAGTCGAGTTTCAGGTTCAAGGCATAGTACAAGCCCTAGTCAAGCGATTACCTCAAGCTGGTTCAGGGAGCGATGAACATGTGGGGCTCTTTCAGTTTGGGGGGTTTTGGTGCCTTAAACCCGTGTGGTCCTAGGTAACGGTTATGGGGGATGCTTCCCCAAAACATACCAGTAATTCCTAATGCAGAAACCCTACGTTCTACTATGCAGGCATTTCCGACCCTTTGCGAGTATTCATCCCGCAAACGGTCATGCACCGAAAGAGAGAAAAGAGCGGCGTTGCCTTCTTCTCGTCCTCTTCCTTGACCTCGACCACCTTTCGGCAGCGGTTATGCACCATCGTGCGCATGTAGGCGGGTACATCCACTCATCCAGTTGCATACATAAACATACAACTGCATACCTATATGTAAACCTGCATATGTATGTGTATATTATATATATATATGGGTAGTTGTCAAAATTAGGGTCACTTTTTGGATGCTTATTATAATACGGCAACCAATATTTAGGCTACCCAAAAAGGGACCATAATTTTGACAACCACCCATATGTATATGCAGGTGTGTGTGTATCTATGTATGCGTGTGTATGCCAGTCATATGCCTACATGCTTTTCGATTGGTTAAGTGGTGCTGTATCTTGTCGTGTTTACTTCATTGCATACAGGAAGCGAGGGCCACGCCTTCGGATCCCAGACCCTCCAAAACCCCTTAATTAAGGAATATACCTTAATTCATATTAGGGATCCGATTATAATTTAAGGTATATTCCTTAATTAAGGGATTTTGGAAAGTCTGGGATGTTGGTATAAGTTTAGGACACACCAGGCAGCATGGCTACTGAACAGTCCCAAAGGTCCTAGAATAGTAATTACTAACACAGAAACCCTACATTCTACTATATACTTACTTTGTACCCTTGCTGAGCCGGCATGGCGACTGAACATGGGGGAGCAGATCAGAAACGTGCGTTCGTTTCTCAACGTGGACCCTAGGCAAGCAAGTGCCCACTTAATTTGGCGCTTGGTTGTATCCCTGTTGCCCCAAAGGGTCCAAAGTACCTATACTATACAGCAGAATGTGAGTTTCTATAGTGGGAATTAAGAAATACTATTATGATTTGGGGAAGTCTCCCCCATAACAGTACCTAGGACACTTTAGGTACCGCAATTGTAAGGAATCTCTGCAGCCAGAGCGGTGCCTGCCACCAAGCGTAGCTGGGAATCATCGTCGTCATCGGCAGCACTGTCACCGTCCTTCCCTTCTCACCTTCATCATGAACATTCATCATCACCGTTCAACTTTGCCTCTTATGAGGGCGATGCCTTGGCAGCACCTTTGCCTACGATCTACAAGCCCAATAGCTCCTATCTTGCAAAAAAAGCTGTAGGTGTTGAGTATTGATGTGAAGATCTACCATTCAGGGCATCGAGTGTTGAGCTTATTAGGGTCGTGGGGTCTGCACTGCGGTTCAGCACCGTCAGGCTTACGCCTTGTCCGCCGCACGCAGTTCGTCCAACGGAGAGGCATAAGGATACGTGAACTCCTGGCAGCTTGCGGGGTGTTTTGCAGCTTACTCATGGTTGTATACGGGTTTATTTGCATGTAAACGTGTTTTTTTAAATTCAGGTTGAGAATGGTATGGTAGTCGCTCCAGAACGTCATGAAGTGTATTTTATGTTAGGATCCGACAAGTATTGATTGTTCTACATTCGGGTCCCTTGTTTTCGGAAGTTCATCTTTTCAAACCAAGGTGTAGTTGGAGCTTTTGGGCTTAGCGCTTTCAGGGTCCAGGATTCTTCGGTTTAGGGTGTTTTGAGATTCAGCATGGAGCTGTCTGGCCAAGGAGCAAGGCTCACAGACAGCATGCGTGCAACTCAAGTTTGAACAGCGAGGTGCTTGTATGAAAACGTAGCACAATACAATCTTCATCGTGAGTTCAGCCAAGAATCGAAGCTCAGAATACATGGTATTATACACATTCCCGCTTGATCTACCTGTCATTGTGGCTCAACATACCTAGGCACGCTTTGGCTCATTGTCAGAACCTGCTGCTTTTTCGGCCAAACGGAGGTGGCGGCCCCAAAGGACGTGGGGCTTCGGATTTCCACCCTTTGAGGTGCACAGAGACTCCAATAATATGCCCTAATTACGGGGTATAACTTATAGTATATAGGATCCCTAAAATGATCTAAGGAATATTCCTGACTTGAGGGATATTGGAGCCTCTGGGTGGCTATCGTGCGTTTAGGACACTACAGTCACAACCCAACCTTAAGTTACGATTTAGGGTTGGGGGCTTGGGGTTTAGGGTTGAGTCCAGGACCCTGAACCTTGATCTCGACCTCATAGTGCAGAAACTCCCTACCTGTAATTGTCAAATCCACGTCAGAGTACGTACTTCTAACCTCCCCCCCTCCGTAATTGCAAAAATCCGAGGCAAGCAAGTTGATGTAAAAATGAAGGCCGTGGAGTAGATAGCATAGCGGTGTTTAGACAGAACTTATGGAAGTTATGTTCTTGGGCATTTAGGTTGTTGATGAGTTTGGATATCGAACTTTCCGCCCTGTTCCTCGGGCTTCTCCGGCGGTAGCGTGAAGCGCTGACCGGTCTCCATCTCGCTGAGATACCTATGGATTCAGGGATTACCTACTTTGCCTACAGTTTAGGGTTTAGGGCTCAGGGGTTTAGGGTGTAGGGTTCAGGGGTTTAAGGGTCAGGGTTTACTTATAGTCTCAATTGAAGTTCCTTTTCTTGGTTTCACCAGTCCCAACAAAAGAGGAACTATAGGGGAGACTAGGACACTATGACCACACTGTACCCATGCTATAGGTAGGGTGCACGGCTTAGAGTTGTGTAGTTTAGGGTTCAGGGGTTTAGAAGGTCAAGGCGAGATGGCTCACTTCATGGCGTCACAAAAATAGCACCGCACCCTTATCAAAAGGACCCTAGAAGGGACCCTTCTTTAGAGAACTGCTACCCTCATGATAATGCCAGGGCGAACCCTACGCCCCTGAACCCTCCGATCATCGTCAGAAGGGATCATATCATAAAACGAAAAACCCGCATAAGTGGTTGTGAAAATTGGGGCTTCTTCCGGGTTCCCAAATTATGAGGTGCCTCTAGTTCGCTCTTCAGACCACATCGATCCAACAATAAGGGTCTGAAAGGTCAAGCAGGTTTCTGGGGTGGGCGTATGCAAACGGCAAGCATAAGTAGTGACCCCCAAAAGCACATAAGTATAAGCATTTTACAGGGATACCCCTACCGTATTGGGCTTCATTATAAGGGGGTTTAATATGGGATATCCCCATCCTAATTGTTGCTGATGTGCTTTTTTGGGGCCCTTATAAGGGCTATCACAAATAGTGTGGGCGATCTGAGGGCAGACTGGTGATCGGAGACCTGCAGGGTTACTTAAAGGATCATGGGACTTATTAGTAAGTGGGGTTCTTTTAAAGGGCTCCTAAAAGGGATCTAGAGGGGTACTATAAGGGTTTAGGGTTTAGGGTCTACTTAAAGGATCATGGAACATAGTAACTGGGGTTAAAATTAGGGTAACTATACTTCTAACTACTTATAACCCAGGTTAAGGTACTTCTAACCTTACTTACTAGGTCTCATGATCCTCCAAGTAGGACTCCGCATGGATTCTTCAGGATAGTAAAAATACGTCCGATGTGAGTCGAAGGTTGTTGGACCGGGTAGCTAATATAGGGGCCTTCATAAATCAAACAGGGTGTTGAGTTTTTTGTGTGTTTTGTTGGGGGTTGTTTTTTGTATTTCTAGTATAAGAGACGCCCAAACTCTATTCTGATTAGTAAGGCGCCTACATTAGTGTATTCCAATCCCGGACTTCCGAAGAATCCTGTTTGAGTCAACTGCAATAACACCCGAATCCCCCACGAATACCGCAAGCCACTCCTCCTTGGCCAAGCACGGCGAAGTTGCTTTATGTCCAAAACCAGGCAAGATTGTTTAGAGTAGAATTTCATCCTCGAACCATAAGCCTGCAGAGCATCTACATTCGACGAACTGGACCCATCGGTTTGGGGCCTTAGGGTTCAGGTTTCTTGGGGCGGTGTAGAATCTTGGATGTCAGAGTTTTGCCTTTAGAACACCTGGCCCGCACAAAATCAAAACAATGACACCCCTGGAGCAACAACGAAAGCTTTTTGGTCGCTGGAAGCTGCCGGCGTGAGGGTCAAATAAATGCCCTCTCACCTTGGGGAGTTCATCATGCGACTTACTTGTCCAAGGCACTAAAGGTTCACCTTTCCGGGACTATATAGGGATTTGGTTTAGGGTTTAGGGCCCATTGGGAAAGCCCTATAAAACCTCATCAGCACCAGAAGAGACCTGTATCAAACCTCAGACCCAACCCTAAACCCTAAACCCTAAACCCTAAAACCCCAAAACCTAAAACCCTAAACCCCAAACACCTCATGCTCGGAAAACTGGTCGCTGCACGAAAGCCCGCTCTTCCACTTCGTCTACCAGACTCAACGACTTTTTCTAGGTAAATACTTCCTTAAAGACGAAATTACACTAAAAGGGTTTAAGATATAGGGAGGGATTCATAGTATATGGGACAAGGGGCCATTTGGTCCTTCAGGTTGTGCAGTGATTTCTATAAGGGTGACTTTGGAGGGCAACTACAACAAGGGATACTACAAGGTTTAATGAATATAGGTGCTTGGATAGATAGACTTGGCTGCTGGGGGTCTATCTCACAAGGAAGGTGATGACGAATTCTTCAGACCTGCATGCTTTACATTCACTTCCCATCTAACAATTCAAGCCTTCCTAGGCCGCAACTAGAAACTCATGGCCTACTGTTATTACGCAGGGTCTGGGGCTACAGTGTCTATTTCGGTGTAGCATATTCCAGGGCTCATTGTCAGGATTCCTGCAAAGAAATGTTGGGATCAAACGTTATACTGTATCGCTGTATGCCTCCTGCCCCCCTCCCCAGCTGCTGCCCTAAAGCACCCTGTTGGACCAGCCGGAAACATGAACTAACACCTACATCCCAAACCCTGAGACCCTAAGAAATGAAGTTACGCGAAGCCGTGCTTACATCTTCAAGTCTTTACAGCGCACTTTGAAAGGAGTTCCCGCAAACAAGATTGCATCCGAATCAGCATAAACCTAAAAGCCCTACGTAAACGCATGAATTCATCTAAATCCTAAACCCTTCAGCCAAACCTTCAACCGAAACCCATGAACTAACGAGCTCCCGAAACACTTAACCCCAAACCCGGATATCTCCTTCTGCACTCGCTGGCCCCCAAAAATCAACTTTCCAAGACAAACCAAAAATAAGAGCCCAAAAAATACAGGTCTGCCTTTCGCCCCGTAACTAAGTAAGTAACTGAAACCACCTGTACGACGGCTACGAAGCGCGAGCTTACTGTGCGAAGCGAAAGCATAAGCAAGGAGTGTGCAAGTCGAATCGGAGGCCGCGCTTGTTTGCGGCTTTAGGGTTTAAGGTTGAGAGTTTAGTTGTTTAGGGGTTTTGGGTTTGGCACTTTAGGGTTTAGGGTCTAGGTTATTGTTTCATGCAGTGGTCTAGGGCTTTAGGGTTTGGGTTTGGGGGTCGAGGGTTTGGGACTTGGGGGTTCCGGGTCTAGGTTAGTGTATTGTTTAATACACCGGTCTCGGGCTTTAGGGTCTAGGGTTTAAGACTGAGGTCAGGGATCCTTGTCGGGTTTCAACCGTGACTTGCGAGGGTCAAAGGTCGCGTTTGTACACTTCAGGGTCGGAATGCACAGGCTGGTTTAGGGTGTAGGGTTTAGGGTTCTGGGTATCGGTTTGTTGTTTAGGGATCTGCCTACAGTCTCCATTGCAGTTGCTTCTTGTGGCTTGACCAAATCTGATAGCGAGGATCCTAAAAAGATAACCCACAACAAATTTACATTGAAACGATAGGTAGGGCGAGTTGAGCATTTCCTATACGGGCCCCCTTTGCGTGAGGGCTTGGATCTCAGACTTTAGTTGGGTTTTAGGCACTTTAAGATTACGGTCTAGCTGCTTGAGGGATCAGGATGCAGCGGTTTAGGGCCTACTTGTCGGGTATCGTGGGGTTATACATAGGGACTATACTGCCCAAAAACGGTTAAAGGTTACCTACTCTACTACTAGGAGGGTTTTAGGGTTTGGGGGTCTTAGGGTTCAGGGCTTAGGTATGGCTGGAGTGAGCTGGGGGTTTGAGTCTCTCGTCTCGGGTGTATCTCAGGGGTGCGAACTGCTGGGTCAGGGTTGAAGGCGTGCGGGGTGCAGGCTGTTTTGGGATTTGGAGCTGCAGGCTTAGATATCACGGCTCTACGGGTTGCGCTCTGCTTGTTCAGAACAAATGTGCGTGTAATTTGTTCGCATCTAGTTACTCTGTAGTTCCCATGTCATATTTGGTGGTTTTATTCTAGAACTCATGCCCTACTTCTTGAAGGTCGTAGGCTTGAGGGAAAGGATGCAGGGTTGAGGCAACGCTTTATGGCTTCAGGAACAGCCCTGGACCCAAAAACTCTAGACTTCAGGCGCCCAGACGTTGCAAAATCCTTTATTAAGGAATATATTTGATTTGTAGTAGAGTCCATAATATGAATTAGCGTGTACTACTAAAATAAAGTTTAGAGGTTAGGGATTCGGATTTCTAGCACACTGCCTCCCAGGAATCGATCCCAGCAGCATGACGTCTGCTGGCGGAACTTGCTGTAGACTTTTGCTCACAGCTTTTCTGCTGAGTGGCGGACCCTACACAGGTCTTGAGACTACTTGGGCTCTGCCGGTGGCGAAGAGCCTTCTGAAGCCCCAGATAGATTGCCACGTGAGTTCCAATGTCTCTGGTAGGCCTTTGGTAGAAGTTTTCGCGCGCTGATGGGCAGCTATATAAGCCTTACACCCTGTCGCTCTGTTACGAATTCGGTATGACTCTTCAGTCAACTCACCGCTCAAAATGCAGATCCTGAACATCATTGATGCAAGTCCACACTCGGGCGTGTTGAGTGCCTCGGTTCCTGATGACCCAATAAGCCAACCCTAACGCAAGGAGCTATTAAGCCAGGAGCTAGGTGTCGATTTCAACAGCTCTCAACATCATCAATACTTAGGACCCCTCTGTGAGCCAGTGAAGCAATTCTCCCAAAATCGGTACCTAGTAACCCTAAACCCATAAACCCTAGCTAGTAACCTAGTAACCCTCGAAGCCTGAGTATCCAAAGGGGGCTGGTATACCATGATCCTACAGACTTCTCTGCCTTTTGGCTGGCCCCGCACTTCCAGATTCCGTCGTTTGCCAACACGGCTTTAAAAAGGACGGCGATGACGACTGGAAAAGACTGCTTGTCCTGAATCACACAATCTTATAAACTATATGGCCTGATCCTGAACACAGCATTATGTGCCAGTTTTCAACTCCTGCACCTGTAATGTCAAACCGCAAAGGCGTTCATCCCCGAAAGCCGAACCAGTCCCCCATCTCGCTGAGTTCATAGAGCCTGCAACCCTACTGGTGGTGGGGCTTAGGGGCTTAGTGTCTAAGCCCCAGGGCTGAAGTTCGTCGTGAACCCACATGCTTCAGAACCCTACACTTCCCGAGCCCGAAGCCCCACCCCTCTAAAGCCTCGTCTCT